CACTCATTAATAGAACATTAACAGTGTGTTAGATAAGTATTTTTGTATGTCTGGATAGCTATTCCCTGACTCATGAGCAAGCCTCTTAGGAAAAGTTGTTATGGGTGTCTGCTTGTAAAAGTCTTCCAGAAGGGAGTTGTAATCCTTCCTATATTCATGGGTGCACAAAGGCATGCTTCCTTCATGGCTTCCAGCTGTCCAGCTGCACACACATTTGTAGAGTTTGACACATGTGACTGCATTTGACTCAGACAACTTTCATGATTATCTCTTTCTGTTGAGATGTGGGGAGAAATAAGGGAAGAAAAGAGAAAAGGGGAACCTAGAGCTTCATCATCAACATGGGTGATTTCAAGGGTGTTCTGTTCATCAGGCTGCTCAGGATTCTCTGGGCTGAGGTACGTGTTTTTCCTTAAGTATTTATACTTACTTGACAATTGAAGTCTCTGTGGACTCACTGCACCTACTACCTCAAGTCTTCCTGTTCTCTCACCCAGCAACGCAGTCACCTTATTTTATATAATCTAGACAAATGACAAATTCAAAATAAATTGCCTTGCTAGAGTCTGCTGTAGTTTGTGGTGGAACATGCCTGGAAGAAATGGAGATATTCTAAAGACACACTTGAGTCTCTCCATCTGACTATCAGACTATTGAAACAGTGGGCCTCAAAGAAATGGAAATTTCCCCTCAGGAAATTCATGCTGGGAAAAGGTAAAAACACCGACCAGAGGGGGAATTTGTCCCCCAGATAAAGATTTCACACAGTTCTACCAAGTTGTCAGATCATGTCACAGGAGGAGACCAAAGTCCACACAGTGGGGTGAAAGGTGGGCAGGGGTAAAAGTGGAAGGGGTGAAGCAAGAGTTGGAGGTATTCCTTGGAATCCATCTTACCAATGTGGACACATGGACTAAATCTTCATTTTATGCTCTCCACTTGAGTCTTTTTTAGCTTGGATTTTTTAATATTAGACTGGTGGTTGGACCTGACTTAGTGCACAAGTTGTGACTCCTGAATTTAATAACAGGAAGTGGCGCGTGATGGCAACCCAAAGTATGATTCTATGCAAAAACTAGGTCTCACCCGAATCAAATCCCCGGATGCCCAGGTTTCCCAGAAAGAGTCTTTGTCTAGATTTTACTTCTTTAATCTGCAGCAATTTGCATTATCCTCAGCTGTTTTCATCAGCTGCTCTTGTTTCTGTCAATGGTTATGTGACCACTATCTAGGAAACAGCTGTGTGCTCCCCCTGCCAGAGTCTTCTCTGGCTTTGTGTGCTTGTGGTATGTTTCCATGCATGAGGAATAATGAGTCCAATAACACATTCCTTCAGCATGCCACAGAACTTATATGTTAATTACAAATTTATATCATTTGTGCCATATTAATATTTATGGATACAAGAATACTTGTATATGATTTAGAGAACTGTGTCATTCATTCACTGTTTTCACACCAAGGGGATTTCTTTGCCTCCATTTTATGGAAAGCTGTTCTTTGCTACATGAAATTTTGGCCTTCTATTGTGTGAACTTGAATCTGCTCACAAGTGATGACTTTCCAGTTTAAAAGTTGGCAAATAAATAGCTCCTGAGTTCTTAAAGTTTGCAATTGGCAGCTTCTTTCAAAAGCCCTCAATGAATTTATTTCATCAAGAAAGTAACCTATAAATAATAAAAGTAGAATTGCTTATTTATATACAACACATTTCTCTCAAATTTTCGAATTTTGTCCCTAAGGCAGAAACCAAGAGAGAGGTGGCTGGGAACCGTGAAGCTAAATTCTTCATTCTGTGACCAGCTGTCTACAGCAGGTGTGGTCTGTCTCTTGAATCTACGGAGGACGTGGACAGAGAAACAATATTGCTTATTACTGAACTTGAAGTCTGACCTCAGTGTCGTTCTGTGATGAGTTGGATAATCTGAGTCATGTCGAGCATGTTAGGGGAAGTACTTCCGTGACTGGAGGCAACTTAGAGTCACATTTGTTTCATGACTCCTTGAAATCTTACTATTCTGATGGCATAAAGAAGCAAAGGGGGTGCTTCGCCAGGAAAGAGAGCATTTGCACCCCAAACCAAGAGCCTCTAGCCTATAATAAGGACCTTCTGCCATGGAGGTTTTGGTTATATTTCTCTGAAAGTCCAGCTGTTAAAAAGACTTTTAAAACATTTAACTATTTATTCTCTTTCTCTCCTTGTCCCTCTTTTTTTTTCCCTCTCCCCCCACCCCTGTTGGATACTCCAGCATATATGGAGAGGCTGAGAAGCCTTGTGCGAGTCCGTTCTCATCTCATGCCACGTGAATGCTGGAAACTGAACTCAGGGGTCATCAAGCTTTGTGGACAGTGTCTTTATTTCCTGAGTCTTCTTTTTAGCCCTCTCAAATTCCAATTACTTTATTTTTTTACATCAGAAACACCAAAATAAGCCAATTCCAAATATTTCTTACAAAAAGTTTAAAATTTGACATAAATTGTATTTATCATATATGTACAATATATTATTTGGCATATATGTGCATATACACGTTGGAAAATTACTAAGTCCAGCTAATGAACGTATGCACTAACTCACAGACACCTTGGTTTTTTTCTGGCGAAGGAGAGTCAGAATACTTTTATTACTTTAATATTTTTAATAATATACTTTAATAATACTTTAATAATATTATATTATTTATATTCATTATGTGATACAACACATTTCTTGAATTTATTCATTTTATCTGACTGAACTCCTAACTGTAAGTTAGTATCCATTGTTCTGCTACCTCCTGGCCATGATGCCTTCTTATCTGGCCTCTGGTAACCAGCATTCTAGACTCAAGTTCTATGAAGCTGACTTTTTTAGATCCCATATATGAGTGATAATATGGTACCTTATTATAGTTCACCTAATTATTTCTAGTTTTATTCAGTTTGTAGAAAATCTCTTAATTTCAGTTTTGCTATTTCACTGGTCATTTTTTTTTTTTCAGTCCAGTGGAGGTTATGAATGTGAGGGTGTGTCGTTACCTGTTCATGCTGTGTGTAAGAGGAGACAAAATATTTTAAATGAGCTTCCCTTCTAAGCTTCACAAGTCCCCACTGTGTATGGTATTCCCAAGTCTTCTGTTTCTTCTTCTGTTCTGATTTTACATGAGTTTAATCTCTGTTTCCCCACTGTGGTGGGCAAAGTTAGAGATGTACAGCTTTTGGGGACTGCGGGTAGATGAGGACCTGTACCAACCACCCCACTAACACCTTCCACTAGTCACCCGCTTCTTTTTACACCGTGTTCCGCGGTGCTTTCCAGCTTGGTATCTGCAGCCTTTGCTTCATCAGCGAGTGCTGGCTTTTTTTCCTGCCAGGACCGATCTCAGTAGGCATTAAGATGTGCCCTACCAGGAAAACAGTCTCCCAACCTTGAAACACTCTCATGTCATCTCATTCAAGAAGGAATTGCTTCAGTTCTTGATCTCTAGGATTTCTGAAGAGAAATCATGCATTTTCATTATGTTTCCTTGATTATGTTTAAATTTTCTTGCCAGTTTTAGATTTCAGCAATTTGACCATGTAAAAACAAGTGGTATAGTAATGAGGAGGAGAAAGTCTAGGACAATTGAGGAATTTGCAGTCATATGATACATTTTCCCATTTATTTATAGTAATCTTCAAGTGTGTTAGAAAGTGGACGGCTCAGAATTTTAAGTTATCAGAAAACCCAAAGGGCCCTAACTATTGAAATAAGGTTTAGGTGCTAATAAAATTTGTTCATCACAAATATTTGAATATTGTCTCTGCTTCCAATGTTTCCATGCCCAAATAATAAACTTCCAAATGATTTACTCTGTACAAACAGATACTCTACATTATAGATGGGACAACTGCTTTAGAATTCACATTTATTTCCTTCTTCTTCCTTGACCAGTAACACTAAAACCAGAGAGGCCAAGTAATGTATTCATATAGTTGCCTGTTATCTGTCCCATTGTTTTATCCACAAACTTGTTAATTTCAAATCATTCTTAATATTTAAGATAACCTTTCCTTTTTGTCTGTGCAGTCTTCGGTGGCCCTGAAAGTAAATTGTACCAATTGATTATATCCTGTTCTCACCAGGCTGGTAACTATTATTTTGTTACATTTGGTTTTTCTTTTTCAATTAATTAATTAATTAATTAATTAATTAATTAATTAAGTGCAATTTATTCACTTTGTATCCCTGCTGTAGCCCCTCCTCATCTCCTCCCAGTCCCATCCTCCCTCCCTTTTCTCCTCCTGGGCCCTTTCCCTAGTCCCCTGATAGGGGAGGACCTCCTCCCCTTCTATCTGACCCTAGCTTATCAGGTCTCATCAGGGCTGGCTGCATCATCTGTTTTCTACCATTTGTGTGAAAGTTAGACATCATTTATGCAGAGGCATTAAAGTAGAAACGAGAACATGATGTAAAATTATGGGCAAGCTATCCTAAAAAATATTTTATTATGGGAAACAAAGATGAGATTAGGAAAATGTCTAGAGGAATATCAGTTTAATTTTAATTAATATTAACATTAGATTTTTGATTTTAATTAAAAATCTTCCAATAGAAATAGTGTAAATAATAAGAAAGGACGTAATCTTAGAACTTGAGAAAGTGGAGTGATAGCTACAGGCGTTTACCATATTGCTTTGTCTTCCCACTAATATGTCCAAAATATTGTACAGTAAAATAAAAACATATTCTATACTGTTACAGAGATAACAGTGCAGCAAATACTAGTTATTTAAGGTTTTTGTATTAATAACAAATGTACAGAAAATTGTTTATCAGGCTAAGATTTAAAAAGTGACATTTTCTGAACCTTTTCATTGATCTCAATGCATTCCTAAATATTCATAATGCTAAACACAGATGAAATGATGGCATACACACACACGCACGCACGCGCACACACACACACACACACACACACACACACACACCTACTTCCATAGCAATGGGCAGGTAGTACTGAAAGGTACATATTGTCAAGTCATAGAGCCCAGGTTACACGACGTCCTTGGATATGTGGTCTTACTATGTTACCATCCTTTGAGGTCACAGAGTGCACATGGACGATGCTCCGAGGCATTATGGTGCGCTCTGGAAGTGAAATGACTTGAATTGAACTTCCAGACAGTTTTTTGCCACTACTTCCTTCTGGGTGTATACAGAATTTTAAGCAGGCACAACTATTTGTGCACTGGATGAAACAGAAGATACCTAGGGGCAGAGAAGCAAGGAAGCAGGATTAGTGTAACATGCAGAGGCGTAGGACCACTTCCTTCTAAACACTTAGAAGACTCTGACCACTGAGCTTTGTGAATACTTCCCAGATATCTGGAGTCATCCAGGAGAATGATTTAGTTAGAGGAGGTGGAATTTTAGCCAAGTAACTTCCATCATTCTCAGCTCCCTGAGGAGGGCTCATTCTGAATGAAGATGTGCTTCTGTCTGGGTTCTTTGGGTGTGTGTGTGTGTGTGTGTGTGTGTGTGTGTGTGTGTGTGCAATTCTAATGCAATTCTGAGACTTTCCAAGAGAAGAAGGGAAACTCTTGTCTTGGTGGGTCCTTCTGGTATCAGCTACTGCTCTGGCTATTTTGTACCTGAAAACTGTTTTCCATGGATCGCTGGTCCTCTAACATATTTGAACACTGTTCTTAGCCATTGTTCTTAGTGGTGACTTTCATGGCTTATCTCTGCCTTAAAGTTGGAAAGGTACTAAAAATACTGAAAAGGAGAAGATGAGGAATGCCCTCAGAGGTAGGCTTAACCTAGCATGTCAAATTTCAGGTTTCTGCTTCTAAGAAATGCATTTAGCTAGTTCCCGGTGATTTTTCACCTTTTAAAGTATGAGCTTCGGTATCTTCTCTTCGACTCTCTATTTTCATTATTTCAGACTCCTCTCTTAGCGGGGGGGTGGGGGGACTAACTGCCTTTTATCAAGGGCCTAGGAGATACTCACCACAGGAAAGAAACAGGGCAATGGTTAAGTAGACAGTGAAAGTCATCCATTTGATCTTGTAATTAGTGAAGTACACATGTTGACCTTTTCTAAGCTTGTGATGATACACAGTGATTGCATAGAACAAAATGCAACCTAGTGTTCAAAAGGAAGAGAAAAGTTTTTCCTCCCTCAGGAAGTTTAAACCCATTATTCAAGTCTTCACCCCCCCTTTCACCAGCATCAATATTCACCAATAGAATGATCCTGTTAGTGATAGATCTAATTCAAAAGCAGAATGTACCCTTGAATCAGAGAATTGGAAAGGCTAGCTATTTAAAGATTGCAGGCTGGAAACCCGTAAGCTCACTGTGACTTTTCCATCTATATCAGTGGAGCCAGGAAGTTACCTGTGACGAAGCTCAGGAAGCCAACAAAGAGGTGTATACACTTATTCTGAGGAATCATAAAGGTGAACTGCAGACCTATGATCAAGTTTATATAGATGGACATGTTGAGAGTCACCCTCATCGAGCGCTGGATCATATTCAGGCTCTCTGTTGGGAAACAGAAGCTGGATTGAGAGGACTCTCTTCCACAGTTGTCTATGTCAAACTTTCATGAGGGTCTTAACCAAGTCAGAATACAGAGGAGAAAAAAGGAGTAAAGAACAAAGAGGCAGTGTTTATTTGAGACAACTGTCCCGGAAGTTTAGTGTCTTTATAAGCTTCTTTATAACTCACAGCTTGATAAGTACCTCAATCCACCCCATCCACTCCTAGCGTGCTAAAATCCATTTTCCTTTGGCCAGTCATTTTCTTCATACCCCTCATGTCTATTTGTGCTGGCTACCATACTGCTATTGTCCAGGTTTATCAAAAGTTCAGTGCATAAGCTGGGTGGTGGTGGTGCACACCTTTAGTCCTAGCACTTAGGAGGCAGAAACAATTGGGTCTCTGTGTGTCTGAGGCCAGACTGGTCTACAAGACAGCCAGAGCTGTCTTGTCTGAATTGCAAGACAGCCAGAGCTACAGCTACCCAGGAAAACCCTGTCTCAAAAAGACAGAAAAAACAAAACAAAAACATTCAGTGCTTAAACCAGTGTGACTCTAATCTTTTCTCTAAAATAGCTAAATTGGTGAAATTTTAGAGTAAATGGCTTATAGTTGACTGAGAAAGGTGCTCCCAGAAATAATGGGTAAGTTGTTCAGATGATTAAAGTCAAGAAACCCTGAAAACTTCCCTTCCACCCATTCCTTTCCATAGTACAGTTCTGACCTTCAGGCCAGAAAGGAGGACAGCATCCCATCCATGGACTGTGGTTCATCTTATCCTTTTTCACTTTGGGAACCAATTCCACCCAGTTTTCCATGGTGAGTCCTACTACCAAGAGAACTATGGCCCCAGAGGAGAAGAATATGTTGGCAGCCTGGATACTTCTGTTTGAGCTGTATACCATTGTGGATAAAAATTTCTGTCAGAGACTACCACCAATGTTTCTCAAGTCTTTGATTTGGTCAGTCAGAAGATGGACGAAATCTGGATGTTCACTGACTGCAGAGGAGCTGGCAGAGACATCAGTAGTGGCAGAAGCTGAAGTAACCTGTAGAGCAGAAAAGATAACATCCTTCCTTTACCATTTTTACATAAAGGGCAGACTGTTGTCAAAGCAACAAACTGCCATGGAATCCTCTGTTTGTTGGTTTGACCCTTGACCTTGGAACCTGAGGTATTGGAACAACCAAACTTCGCAAAGGTTCTTTGAGAGAGCTATAATGTGGTGAGGTCTGATATCGCAGAGATATCAGAAACAGGCTTCAGAGACTTTTGACAGGCATAACTAAAGAAGTCCTATATAGTAGTCAGAATGCTGGTGCTGGGGTTAGTTGACACTGGGTGAAGTCTGTGAAGAGGAGAATCCTAAGGTCTTTTGGACAAGTGTTCAGTTAGTTGGCACCATAGAAGAGAATGCCCATTAGAAATTTTGGATTTGTTGTAGGACCTCAGGTCTTCAACGTGGTTTCTCACAGAAGCCTATTTAATTAGGTTTTTAGGGAAACTCAAGCTCTGAAACCCCCAAAATTTGACCTGGTACACTGGACCTTTTTATTTCACTGTCTCCTGTGAAGCCTAAGAATTTTTTTTTTTTTTTGTCAGAATTACCTTTGTAACTTGGTAGAGAAACATTTTGTGGAGTCCTTGAAGAGAGAACCATGGTATTTACTAGGTTGTATCCAGAGGGATATTCTAAAACTCCTTAAATGCTTTTTGCTGAGCTCAGAAAACTATCTTCAAATTCTTCTTTCCTTCTATTTTTAATTTTTTTTCCTTTTATTGCAAATATTCTTTTCTTATAAACAACATCCTGATTATAGTTTTCCCTTTCCTACTCCTCCCAGTTCCTTTCCACCTCCCTCCACCCAGAATCCACTCTCTTTCTGTCTCTCATTAGAAAAGAACAGTATTTTAAGAGATAATGACCAAACACGACAAAATAAAAGATAATAAGATGAAGCAAAAATGTTCATATCGAAGTTAGAAAATGGCAACCCATCAGGAGAAAAATAGTACTAAGAGCAGACATAAGAGAAAGAGATGCACTCATCTTCACAGTAAGGAGGCCCATAAAAACACAAAGTCAATAGCTGAGTCCTATACACAGAGGACCTGGTGTAGACTGTGTAGGCCAACCCACACATCTTTCCTTCTACGTTTTTTGATGTTTACCACAGGATGCTTTCCTCGAGTCTGAAAGGGCTTCTCTGTTTGCCTCAAATACATTCTCTTCATCCCAGAACTAACTGTATTATTTGATACTAATGTATTTTTCTTATACTTCTAATTTTGAGAAGACAATGCTCAAGATTAGAGTTAATCTTAAAAGTAAGGCTTTATGGTTAAGAGACTTAGCATCTTAAGTTTAAATCTCGGCCCTACCACTCAGTAATGATGCAGTCTTAGTGGTAATGATTTTTATGACATGAGCCAAGACTTCAGATGTAGAGCACTGGAGGAAAGACTGCCTGGAGCCTCTTCTTCTGTGGCAAATGGTAACTGGCACCTGAGCATTTGCCACTATGTTCCCTTGGGTCTTTCAGACAGGAATTCTGGGTAAATCTTCATGAAGGCAGTTTACTGGGAAGTACATCAGGGAGCCGCCTATGTTGATGGGTAAGGGTAGGGGGTCTGAGTAGAAATAGATGGAAATGCCGTTGCAATGGAAGAAACTTAGGGCTCCAGGAATTCTGTAAACACAGTTTAATTTGCCTTTCTGTTCTAAGATGGTGCTTAGAGTAATCTAGATTATGGAGGCCTGGCACAAGAGACTTCAGTGAGGAATAACATTTATTAGCAACTGGGCTAGAGGTAATATTTTGGCTTAGAACCTGGAAACTTTATGCCTGTGTCCTGAGAATTTACCTTAGTCTAAATTTAAAAAGCAACACACTAATTTCTTTGGTGAAAGACATTTTAACACTGTGTAATTTTGAATATGTGAGATGTTTATTATTTATAATTATTTTTTCTTTTAATTTTTATTTTTTCACAATTTATTCATTTTATATCCTTATTGTAGTCCCCTCCTTCAACTCCTCCCCATCTCACCCCCCCTTCCTTTTCCCTCCATCCCCTTCCCCTAGTCCGCTGAAAGGGGGAGTTCTCCTTTGCCATCTGCCTTTAGCTTATCAAGTCTCATCAGGACTGCCTGGATCCTCTTCTTCTGTGGCCTGGCAAGAGATCAAAGAGCAGGCAGGTCATAATGAAAAAGAACATGTAGGGCACAGAAGACTATATAAATGTACAGTTTGGAGAGAAAAAGAGAATTAAAGAAATTTAATGTTACAGACTAGGAGTGTGCTGAAAGAGTATCTATTGTTAAAATTATTTGAGCCATTAAGGAGAGGCCTCTTGTTCTATACCAGAAAGAGTGTCCTTAGATCAAGATCCTCATCTAGCTGAGCTCGCAATATGTGAAGGATCGCCTAACTAAGGATTTTTCTCTTCCCAGAAAGCAACTACATACAAAATAGCTGCTAATGTGAGCCAAGTGGGTGAGGGCCCGTTTACAGTTGGCAGCTGAACTTGGCAGCATCATTTATGTAGTATTGCCTTTCAAAGCACGGAAGATTCAAGAGTGAAGAAGACACGGGTTCTTCCTCCATGGTTTCAGGGCTACGGAGGCCAGGCAATATGCTTCCATTCTGGAATCACTGCAAGAAGGTCCTGGAAGGCCATTGCTTGAAATTGTGAAAGTGAAGCCTGTCTCTGGTAGAGACCCCAAGGCACAGGAGATTCAGGAGGTATGACATATCTGCCAGGGAGAGCTGCGTACAGGGAGCCCAAGATAAATGGAGGCAGTAAATGTTGCAGGCAGCAAAGCTGGAGAAGTGGGGCCATCCAACCTATAAATCCAATGTGCCAGACACTGGACATGGAGCAACAGGTCATTTTGTTTGTTATCCTGGGTTTCAGTTTTGCTTTGGTCCAATATTTCCTCATAATACCTTCATCCATCTATTTCAGAATAGGAATTCTCACTTTGTAACCTTTTATGTTGGGAGTATATAATTAAAAAGATATTGGTAGAAGAGTCTCAGTTAAGAAACTGCCTTGAGTCTCAAAAGAGACTTTGGATTTTTAAACAGCGATGGAACTGTTAAAAATCATTGGTAGAGTTGGGCTACATGCATTTGGCATCATGGAGTGGCCATCCGCCTTTGGGCACCAGGGAGTGGGATGTGGTGGTTTGAATGAAAAAATATTCCCATTGGCACATGTATTTAAATATTAGGTCCCCAGGTCGTCGTGCTGTTAGGGATGTTGGTCCAGGTTGGGGTATCCAGACACCATTGCACCAGGCTAGGCTGGAAGGAATGAAGCTTAGATGGATGGGTGGGTTAGCAGGGTCTCATCTGTCAGTGAGTGTGGGAGAAACAGCCTTCCTTCACAGAGATGGTTTTCAGTGAAACAGCTCTCCTTTATTGGGGGCCCTAAGGGCTATACCCGCTTGGGGAAGCTGGTAGGGTTTTTTTTTGTTTGTTTGTTTGTTTGTTTGTTTGGTTTTGGGATGAGTGTACATCATTGGCTGGGGCTGAGGTGCTGGGAATGCTTAATTTGCATTAAGAGGAATTCCAGGTGTTAGCTGGATGTGTACTTATAAGGAAATAGGACGTTTTAACCTGAAACCTGGCTGCCAGGCTACATGATGGCAGAGGTGGGGGTTACAAGGCCCCATGCACTGGGGCATGCGGGCCCAGAAGAGGGAGGGAGCGGTTCTTGCTCCTGCAGGTCTCAAGACAAGGTTTTGGGGTTTGGACACAACTCAATCTCACTCTTGCTCTGGGCCAGCTCCTCCAGTTGCATGGCTCACCTGCCCCACATTGGGAGGTTAAGGGATATTTTAGGAGGCTCAACTTTGAGAGTTGACTTGTGAGACAAGTCTCACTTGTGAGACAAATGAGCCTTGCCTCACTTCCGGTTGTCTCTCTACTTTCTCTGTGTGGTTAAAGACGTGGTCTCTCAGCTTCTAGATCTTGCCACATGCTGCCATGCCACGTCGCTATTACGATCTCTCCCTCTGGTACCGCAATTTAAAGTTAAACTCTTTCTTCCCTAAGTTGCATTTGGTCACAACAGTGAAAAGTAACTAATACAGTGCCTATAGGCAAATGATTGACAAGGAGAATCAGTTCAGCCTCTGGATAGCTTTTAAAACTGAAGAGTGCGTGTCATTACACAATAATATAAAGAATGTGACCAGTAGCACAGCATCAATGAAAAACTGACTGGAGAGAATGGCCAAAGATGTATAAAGAGATAATATATTGTTGAGGAATTAAAAAGAGGCTACAGTTTAATCTATTTTTTTAATTTTAATTGCTATACAATTACAGATATTTACAGCGGAACTGAGTCATAATTTGCCATATGCATGCAATGTGTAATGTCCAGTTGAGATGCTTGGCTTTTCAGTTTCATTACTTCTTCATGCTGGGAATCTTTGGACTCCACTCTTCTTTTTATTTTGTGAAGCTACAGGGATTAAGCAGTATTTTAAATTGTCACAGGAAAATGACCACGTAAAGTAAAAGCTGAATGCAGATCACTGAATTTAGTAATTGGAATGTCAGTGATGATTTTTTGACAGCATTTTAAGTAGAATTATGGGGAAAATGGAGGTCTAAGTTGAGGCACTTTTTGTTTAAACAAGCACCGTATACAATAAATAGCCATAAAGAAAGAAAGAAAAAAAAAAGGAAACTGTTAGGGAAGACTAATTTTTTTAAATTAAATTTTAATTTTTTATATTAATTACAGTTTATTTACTTTGTATCCCAGCTGTATCCCCTTCCCTCATTCCCTCCGAATCCCACCCTCCCTCCCTTATCTCCTCCCTGCCTGTCTCTAAGTCTACTGATAGGGGCAGTCCTCTTCTCCTTCCATCTGACCCTAGCTTAT